GAAAGGTTTTTTAGTGGATTTTGGTTCCACAAAATATTTCTCAATGAAAGATAAGATTTTCATTGTTTGGGATGAAAAAGTAATGTCTGGACTCATTCTATTTCCTTTCCCCTCTGCTTTGGAAACTGGCTAGTTCTTTCCTGAGTTCACTTGTTTCTTGCCAAACTATCCAGTGATTACCAAAACACATAACCAACATTTTGCTTTCCAACATGTCCCTTTAGAGCTACAAGTGCACCAGGAACATGATCTGCCTTTCATGTTATTATAGGCCTTAGCAAATGTTTCACCATGCTGTAAAGCACAAATCTCTATCTTTTCAGTTTCCAGTATGATGCCCTACCACCAGCTATTAGATCCCAATGATAGTAACACATGTTTTAGGTTTTATTAGGGAATCAGCATGCTTTAGGTACAATATTCATATTCATCAAGACAGTCGATTGGTAACAAATAACCCCCAAACTTAAAATGTTTAAAGTAAGAATGGTACAAGGCAACTGCTTTCCTATTTACCAGCAATTAACGATTAGAATGTGAAATTAAAAAAAAGATAGCATTTACAATAGCACAAAAAAAGAAAGATGAAGTAATTAGTTTTAAATCTACAAAATATGTACTGAATCTGTATGTGGAATATTGTAAATTATTGATGAAAGAAATAAAATAATATCCAAATAAATAGGAAACATATTTTCATGGGTTGGAAAATGGAATATCGGTAAGATGTCAGTTCGTCCTAGCCTGATCTATATAGTAAACATAATCCCAATCAAAATCCCCACAAGCATTTTTGGAGTTAGCTCCTTGGGCTGACTATGAAAAAATTATTTTAAAATTTATATGGAAAGATAAAGGGCCTAGAAGAGCCAACACAATTCTGAAAAACACGAATAAAGTCAGAGTACTCTCAGTGTCACATTTCAAGATTTATTATAAAGCTACTGGAATCAGAACAGTCTGGTACTGAGAAAAAATGGAACCCCGATTAATGGTACAGAATAGAGAGCCAAAAAGTAGACCCACAGAGATACTGTTAATTGATTTTTGACAAAAATGCAAAGGTAATTCCATGAAGATAAGATAGTCTTTTCAACAAATGGTGTGGAAATAATTAGATATCCTTATGCAAACACATGAACTCACACACAGATTTCACATCTTACGCAAAATCAATTCAAAATGGACCAAAGATAAATGTAAATTGCAAAGCTATAAAACGTCTAGGAGAAAATTAGGATGAAATCTGTCTGAATGACCTTGTGTTGGTTATGACTTTTCAGATGCAACACCAAAAGTACTGTCCATGGAAGGAAAACAAAGGTACTTCATTAAAGCTAAGAATATTTGCTCTGTGAGAGATACTAAGAGAATGAACAGACAAGCCACAGACTGGAGAAAATATTTGCAATTCACATATTTGAGAAAAAGCCTTGTATACAGAATATACAAAACAACACAGGTTTATTTTGTGCTGATGGTACATGTGGTTGCAGATCAGTATGGGTTTTGCTCATCATGGTCACTCAGGGAATCAAACTGATAGAAGCTCTGCTGTCATATTAACAGGAGGCTTTAGGGTTACCTTTGTCAGCTGAAGAGATTATGGAGAATTGGACAACTATTACCTGTTCTCATAAGTAATTGGCATGCTACCTCTGATCACCTTTCATGGGCTAAACAAAATAATAAGACCTAAGCTATGTTCTCAGAAGAAAATTTCTGGTATAAAAAACTGGAAATTTTATTGAGCACTGGTAAGTATTCCATATCAGGTTACTCACATATGCCTAGACAGATGAGAGACCATTTAGATGGTATTTATTAAATATGGCATATTTAGATCAAACTCCCCACACTCACAAAAATGGCCACGTTGCAATAAAAATTGTGGCATATTAAAAAAAATAACATTGCATATATAAAATTAGAGATTTCATGGTATGTGAACCTAGTTACTTCCCATCCTTGCAGGAAATTGAAAGTCTAAAGCATTAAAATATTCAGCTTTTACTTTAGATATTGGATTGTAATTTAATCATTAGGTATCCATCTTAGAAAATTGTGAGATCTTTGAGAAGACAAAGATAAAAGAAAATAAATATGCCTTTTGGAAGTGACTGTACACATCCAAGATCGTTAGAAACAAAATAACTTTAGAGGAATGTTTAATAGATCCATGTAAACTCTCACGGTTTCTTCTAAAGTTGCTGAATTCTTTTGTTCAATTAGATCTCTAAAGGAAACTTAAAAACAATGTAAACATGAGAAGGCCACATGAGGGGTTCCTGAGTCAAAGGAAAACCATCACATTCAACTGAGTTGTAGAAGGTTTTATGTTGAAAGAACATCCATTTGAGAAATGTAAATGAGTTATTCAACTTTTACTCACTTCCATAGATATTTTAACATGAAAAAAATAACTTACTATCACAACCCACTATCATTTAAATAGGTCAGACCTCTAAGTTTTTATGCAAGCTTTAGTGGTCTTACTTCTTTGGGATTTTTCCACCCTTCAGTTAAATTCAGCATAGAAGTTTAATTAATTAATTAAAACTTTCTCTTTCAGCAAAAGTGTAAACCTATCATTGGAATAAGAAACACAAAAATGGAGTGATCAGGAAGTATGCTTCCCTAGCTCTATGAACTTGACCGATGAAAGAAGTACAAGTTTGGGGTGCCTGGGTGGCTCAGTAGGTTAAGCATGTGACCTTTGTTTTCAGCTCAGGTCTTGATCTCAGGGTTGTGAGTTCAAGCCCCATGTTGGGCTGAGCTCGACAATGAGTGTGGAGCCTACTTAAAAGAAAAGAAAAGAAAAGAAAAGAAAGAAAGAAAGAAAGAAAGAAAGAAAGAAAGAAAGAAAGAAAGAAAGAAAGAAAGAAAGAAAGAAAGAAGAAAGGAAGAAAGAAGTACAAGTTCAATGATTAGTATCTAAGCATAAATTCAGGGGGAAAAAGTCACTAATTGCTAATCAATTTGATGTTTCTTTTTCCACTTCAATACAATCAAGAATCATAGGCAAACACCACATAAAGTGCTGTTTTGGTTTTGTTGTTGTTGTTTTTTACAATAATCAGCTTTAAAATTTTGTTTTCATGGTCAGTACTATCACAAATTGTTGGCCTGAAAAGGACAAACTGACAAGAAGTTTCTATAGATCTCAGTTTTAAAAAAATAGATGAAAGTAACCCCAGCCAAATTCTGAAAAGAGTATTCAAGTTTGTGGTCTCAGTGATAAATTGTGGGAAGTAGGGATAAATGAAAGCTCAGAGTTATAAACTATATGCTCTTTGAAATAAATGGCATATTGAATGTTGCCTTAAACATTTCAGGGTTTAAAAAGGCTCACAAGCAAATTTACCCACAAAGAAATTGTTGTTTATTAGTCTTTCAAATAAATTTTCAAAAAAAATGAATATTCTTTTTAGTTCACCAAGTTTGAGTTTGGCCCAATTCATATTTAATTGTTGCCATTTCCTTTCCCATTAACTAAAAGTAATAACACAAAATGACCTCATCCACATCTCACAAATACATATGCATATGTTTCTCTATATACTCTAGCCAATTTTCTTGACACCCAAACGAAAAGAAAGCACAGGCTAGAAAAACTAGGTAGAGTGATAAAAAATAGATACTAGCATTTTTGTTTTCAAATTCTTCTTTTAGCTGCATGACCTTGGGCAAGTCATTTAACCAGTTTTGCCTTAGATCCTTTATCTCTAAAATGGAAAAAAAACAATAGAATCTACCTCAAAGGGTTTTTGTGAGAATTACATGAGTTAATATATATAAAGAACAAATCCTGGCACATAAGTAAAGTTGGATAAGTGTTAGTCATTATTATCAAGTACATTGTCTGGTATTCATGAAATTTTGATGACCAGTTTCTTTTACATCTTTCTATCCATATTTCCTTCATATCGACCACTTACCCTGGTACAGGTCAACTTTAACACACTTTATAAAAGCTTTTCTCCAGGTCTTGATATTATCTTAGCTGGTATTATTCATTTTCATCATTGTCATCCTTTTACTCAAACTATTATCCTCATCAGCAGTGCATTTCTCAACTCCTCTGCATGTATCCAAGAATTACTTGTCATTCAAAGGCAAGATCAATTTTACAGGTTGTTGTCAGCTATTTTAGAAAGAGATGATATCCCCCTTTTGAGTTTTTATGATATTTAATATATTCTTAAAATTTAGAACTGTCTAAAGCATCTGTCGGCTACTTAGCACCAGAATGGCCATCTTAATATAAGCTATGTTGAGATCAAAATTCATGTCTGTCGACAGATATTTTTTGAAGGATTGAGGGATACAATTTAATAACTTTATTCTCCACTCAATTCTAATTATCTGATGGTTTCAAGTTAGCTTTGCCTTTGTTTCTTTCTCATTTACTTCTATAGATGTTTGGTCATAGTATAGCTATAGTAATGTTCAAGAACATTTTTTTTTTTTTGAGTAAAATATTCTATGGGAAGACCAGTTGCAATGTTATTTCTCAATTGCAGAGATTGTTCTTTTGTACTTAGGCCTCCTGCCGATTAAGTAGGTTTTGTCTTGATAGGAAAAGGTAAGGCAAATTTTTACCTTTTTAGTTTGTGAGTCAGAAAAAGAGAGAGAAAGAAGGTTATGAGGTTTCTACTAGAGCTGATGATAATTGGGGAAAGTCTGTTCTGGGGGATTGCTGCCTCTCCTGCCTGTGTGGGCAGCCATGTTATAGAGTTTGTGACTTTATCCCTCTCTTGCTTCACGAATCCAGTGGCTGCATCCTTAGGCTGGCTTCTGGCCTTAAACATGGAATGGTAGGATAAAGTGAGCTAATCCAATCAGATTCCCCCTTGTAAAATCTGAATCAAATGCATGAAAATGATTTACCAATTAGGAAAAAGGGCAGAACTTGAAAAATTATGATACATAGTGAATATAGCAAATATATAACATTTGTATACATCAAGCTAAAATTTTGAGAAATCAAAGGAAATTTCTTGTGAGAAATATATTAAGAGAAAAGCCCTGTGGCTCATGAGAAAAAAAGATGAATGCTAAGATTTCCTGAGTATGTACCACCATTCTGGTTCTCATTGCAGTCCTTCCCCATCACCTCTAACAACTTCAAGAAGTTTGTTTAGGTATTTTTATTTTTTTAACACAACAGCATATATGAATTTTTATATAAGGGCCAATATCCCTAGGTAGGAGCAGTAGATAGTATGCATGAAGTATGCCAATTTTCATTATCTGGAGGAAATGAGGACTAAGAACAAATTTCCTAATGATGAATTATTTAGCACTGGAATGCATTGGAAAAGGACTTTTTGGAATGGCTTAGAAATGGAACAGTTTATCATTTGGTGGAATAAGTTAGATTTCTGTTTGCTGGAACAAAGTTTGAATAAATGCTATACCAAAGCCCTCCCATGAAAAATATATTTGACTTATTTTTGAATGATTGTTTTCTGTGTAGTCTGCATCTATAACTATTAACTTTACCTAAAGAAAATTGAGGCCAAGGTGGTATGTATTTGTTTTCTATTTCTTTTTTTTTTTAAGATTTTATTTATTTATTCATGAGAGACAGAGTGAGAGAGAGGCAGAGGCAGAGGGAGAAGCAGGCTCCCCGCAGAGCAGGGAGCCCGATGCGGGACTCGATCCCAGGACCCTGGGATCATGACCTGAGCCGAAGGCAGATGCTTAACCAACTGAGCCACCCAGGCGTCCTAGTTTTCTACTTCTGTGTAACAATGACACAAATGTAATGACTTAGAACAGTGTCCATTTATTGGTTCAGTTTTACTGGAAGCACAGAAGTCTGGTATCATGTACCTGTATTCTCTGGTCAGAGTATCACAAGGCTGAAATCAAGACATTACCTGGTTGAGTTCTCCTCTGCAAGCTCAGAGGAGATACTACTTCCAAGTTCATTCTTCTTGTTCCTTGAAGTTGCAGGGCTGAGGTCTTCATTCCTTGCTAGCTATTAGCAGACAGCTGGTCTCAGCTCCTAGAGATCACCTGTACATTCTGTGCCAAGTGGCCTCTTTGGTCTTCAAGCCAGCAATGGTGTGTGAGGTCTTTCTTGTGTTTTGAATTTCTGACTTCCTCTTCTGTAACAAGACCCAGAAAACTCTTGGCTTTTAAAGGATTCTAGTGATTAGAATAGTCACTGAATAATCTGTCTTTTTTAGAATTAATCGGGCCGTATAACATAATGTAATCCTGGGAGTAATATCTATTTTATTCACATTTCCAAAGATTAGGACAGGATATTTTGGGAGCCATCTTAGAATTCTGTCTACCACAGTTTTTTGTTTTTTTTTTTAACAGATCTTTAGGTACAGATAGACTTGTTAACACCTATATAATTAGAATATTAGAATGATTTCTACCATTTTTTAAGTTCAATATTTAATATTATTAGATCAAGGGAAATGAAATATAATTTAGCCAATATATTATATGTAAAGAAATGAAATACAAAGGTAGAGAAATCAAATACATGGTAGTCATTTCCAGCAATTTAATCAAGACCACAGAAAAAAGATTTCAGTTGCTTACTAATGATTTTGAAAAGCACAATAAGACATGTAATTATTTCACTAAACATTTACTCAATGAAAAATTCGTGACCTATACAATATTCACTAGAGACAAAGAATATTAACTGAAATCTGTACTAAATAGAAAGAATGAAATTAAAAATGACAACCTGGTCCATTTGAATATCATCTAGTGTATGGCACTAAGATAATTACATTGAGATTGAAGAAGAAAGTACAAGGAATTCTCAATCTGCATCCCTTTACTGCTGAGGAGACTGTGATTCGGAGAGATCGTGCCTTATCCAAGAACATATGGTCAGCTGATGGCAGAACTGAGATGAGAGCCTTTGATCCCAGAACTTTGTTTCTTCTGCTATAACTTGACATTACTGACATTTATCAGTCTGTTATGACATTGTCTCAAGTGGTTTCCAAGCATGAGTGTGTAAATCTGTTCAGTCCCTTCCTCTGCCCTGAAAAGAACTGAAGAAGTAGTCACTGTAAACCAAATGAAAAACTAAGAGTCTATTTTTTAAAAGTAAATAAAAAGAACAACCTGATTAATGATGTTCCTGGTTATGACAGCAAGCCATAGCAAAAACACCCTGGACTTGGAGTTAAGAATAGAGGATACAAGCCTTGCCTCTGTCACTGACTGGCTCTAGACAAGTTACTGAATTTCTTATAACCTCAGTTTCCTCACTTTAAAAAGTTAAAATGATGTTCTTTGACTCACAGAATTGTTTTGAGATATATGTGAAGGTACTGAGAAACAAAGTAGAATATTGGATTGGTATTATCATTGATGCTAAGCAACTAACTCTATAAACAATGATGAAAGTATGAAGGAAAGATGGAAGACTGAACATAATGTTAAAGTTCATGGTGAAATTCTCAACGAGAGACTTAACTGTCTGCTTATTGTGTTAATGCTTAACCATAAAATATTCTATATCATATAATTTCTCTACAGATTGTGGCAGCTAGAATTAATTCTTACAGTTCTCTTTAGTTGGCAAAGCCCTTTCTTGGTCAAAATCAACCTTATTCCACGAACTCTGATTTACAGAATGTAATAGCCAACACTGCTGGAATCATTCATGTGGATGGTGGGCAGGGATTTTGGTATCTGGACTCAGCCTTAAAGAATTTGAGCCAAGAAAAGCCTTTCATCAAGATATAAGGACTCTAGACTTATTTTTCCTGAATAACAGAGCTCTTAAATATAAAACAAAAAGTTCTGGTGGCCATCAAAGGCCTGTTTCATCACAATTGTCAAGGATATGCCCTCAAATGAAAAGTACATTTTAGAAACTGATTAAAAGAATTATTCAGAATGCTCTTCAAACCAGCTATAGAATTGTGGGGCTGGAGAGAATCAGAGATGATCCAGCCCAACCTGGTCTCTTGACAGGTGAGAAAACTAAGATGCACAGTTTAATTTATGAATGAAGGTCTCTAAAACCCAGGAAGCTTCTCCAGGTTCAATGTATTTGGTATCACATTGTGCAATTTTTCAGGCAAGTATATTTTTATCTTTTCATCCAAAAATATTCTCCAACTCATAAAGATTGAGGAAATGAAATATTACTCTTCTCTAACAAATTCTAAGTCTATTTAAATTAGTTATCTTCATTATTATCAGTTTTTGAAATAAGCTTAGCTTTTTCTTTTAAAGATGTATCAGTGAAATGACTGCATTCTTCAGATTCCTCTACAAAAGTGTTTTCCAAACTTAATTGCATAATGAAACCGACTTGGGAGCTTTAAGAAATACAGATGCTTGCATCTCACTTCCTGAGATTTTGGTTTGTTTAATCTGAGATGTGATCTGGGTGGGATCTTCTAAAAAGAAAATCCCTGGATGATTCCATTGTGCAGCCAGAGTTGAGAACCACTGCAAGATCCACCAATTAAGCAGGGTTGGCAGCAAGAATCTAAGCTATGGATGATACAATACTGGCATCTTCTGTACCTTGTGAGTTCTTTTATTAATTGATCAGAACATTAAATGGAGAATTGGTACATTTTGTTCCTACTGTTACAAACATTTTTAAAGTGCCTCTTGAAGTCCAAATATTTCCTAAACACTGGTAATATAAATGCAAGTAACACATATTCCCTGTCCTTAAGGAAATTCCTGTGATGGTAGGGTCAGATTAAGAAGCACTCGTGTCACTGACAATTATAAAACATGAGAGGAGTCTTAAGATGAGGCATGCATAGCTGATTTTGCCCACTGATATCATTCATCAATAAACATAGTTGTGCATGGAACATTTCTAACTACATCCAGTTATAGTTCTCTGAATGCAAGATATTTTGTGATGGAGAGATAAAGGAAGCAGTTCTTGGAAGAGAACAGCTGGTTTTCCAAACTGACTCAAATAACATGGATGAAGAATAGACATCCTAATTCCTTATTGTGCTGGGAAGTGTGCATGGTTTTGCATGAGTCAATCGGAATTAAAGAACAGTCAATACAGCTCAGGAAAAATACTTCTGCAGATCCCTGAACACACCCTGTTCATTCATGCTCCTCTTCAGCAGCACGAATAGTTCTCTCCAACAACATAATGGGGCAGAGTCCTGCCAACCTGCGGGCTGGGATCTAGAAGGTATATAAATAGTTATGAGGAACAGATGATGTTTGCTTTTCTAAATGACTTAGAGTAATTTAAAATAGGAAGTCTCTACTACTGAAAGGAATTGAAAAACCAATTGCTCTCCTAAGCACAATATCTATTTTATGTTTTATTTTGGGTACACACAAAATAAATTTTTAAAAATACTTGAAAAACAATGACAAAGCAACTATCAATAAATCAAATATTTATTTTGTCTATTTGGTGTATATACTATGAAATAACTAACGTGAACCTCAAATATTATTTACCATAATACCAGCTCAATGACTGAAGGTAAAAAATACATCCCTATATGATTGGATTTACCAAAATTGAGATTAATCTCAGAGAGAGAACTAGATTAAGCTCTCTGAGGTTAGATTTTTTTTTCACTCTTAGAAACTTCTTTTTTTACAAGTGTTGTTTTTTTCTTTTAATTGAGATATAATTGAATGACATATAGCATTATATAACCTTCAGGGGTATAACATCTTGCTTTGATACATTTATACTGCAGTATGACTGCCATTGTAGCATTAGCTAACACCTCTCTGGTGCCCCATAATTATTATTTCTTTTTTTAAAATAATATTATTTATTTGTTTATTTTAGAGAGACAGAGCATGAACAGGGGAAGGGGCAGAGGGAGAAGGAGAGAAACTCAAGCAGATTCAAGCCTGACTCAGGGATCGATCTCACAATCCTGAGATCATGACCTTAGCCAAAACCAAGAGTCGGATGCTTAACCGACTGAGCCAGCTAGATACCCCACTTATTATTTCTCCTAGTGGTGGGAACAATTAAGATCTGGTCTCTTAGAAAGTTTAATATGCAGCATTATTCACAAAAGCCAAGATATGGAAACAACCTAGTGTCCATCAATGGATGAATGTATAAAGATGTGGTGTGTACATATACATACAATGGAATACTGCTCAGCCATGAGAAAAAAGGGAAATCTTACCATTTGCAACAGCATGGTTGGACCTTGAGAACATTATGCTAAGTGAGATAAGTCAGACAGAGAAAGACAAATACTATATGCTATCTCTTATATGTGGAATCTAAAAAGAAATGAACTCCAAAAAACAGCGAGTGGAATGGTGGTTACCAGGAGCTGAGATGTGGGGGAGTAGGAGAGATGTTGTTTAAGACACATACTTGGAACTAGTAAATAGATAAGTCCTGGAGATCTAATTCACAGGAACTATCTTAGCTACCAGGGCATTATCTGGCAGATTTATTTGTTGAATGAATGAAGAGAGGTCTTTAGTTTGTAAGATAAATGTGCATTTGCTATTTTCTCATTTGAAAGTATTCAGAGTCTGGTCTTAGTGTTTCTTCTCATGTAATTCTTTTTATAGCGTTTTAAAAAATAGTGTCTTATACACATTTTGATTTGATGATACTAGCAGTAAAGTGACACATAATAATTTCTTTATTACATTATAGGACACATTCAGCTGAGAATTTTATGACCAGTAAACAATCTTAGAGTCAACGAACACTGAACATTTTAAAATAAAAATATAAAATTAATTTTGATATTTTGTGTGATAATTAAAAATCACATTTATACCTTAATAGATATTACATGTGCATTGAATTTATACATTGATTTCCAAAGAGTTGACTATGGTAGTATACTGACTACATAGCCTTGAAGATACAGATTCTTTATCAGTGACGTGTAATTTTTTTCAGGGCTTGCAAATAGCTGAAAGATGGCAGTAACTATCATAAATTATATAAATCACTTAAAATGATGTGTGTCCTTTTTTTTTTGCATGTGTCTCCAACATGGTGGCTGGTAAATCACCAACAGTGTTCAAGTTTTACCAACTGACATTAAAATCAGATACTTTCTCAAAGACACAGCCAAGCATTGCCCAGAGAATCCCCATTCCTCATCTTTAGTCACATTTAAGTCAAGTATAAAGTACTACTATTTTTGAGCTTAGTGGTGTTAAGTTGTCAAAACTACCACTTCCTAAATTTAAAAAAGACCACTCTCCTTTAGGATTTTGATGGACTCCTGTCTCACATTTAGGTCTTTCAACCATTTTGAGTCTATTTCTGTGTGTGGTGTAAGGAAATGGTCTGGTTTCATTCTTCTGCATGTGGCTGTCCAATTTTCCCAAACCATTTGTTGAAGAGACTGTCTTTTTTCCACTGGACATTCTTTCCTGCTTTGTTGAAGATTAGTTGAACACAGAGTTGAGGGTCCTTTTCTGGTTCTCTATTCTGTTCCATTGGTCTATGTGTCTGTTTTTGTGCCAGTACCATACTGTCTTGATGATTACAGCTTTGTAATGGAGCTTAAAGTCCGGAATTGTGATGCCACCAGCTTTGCTTTTCTTTTTCAACATTCTTCTGGCTATTCGGGGTCATTTCTGGTTCCATACAAATTTTAGGATTTTTTGTTCCGTTTCTTTGAAAAAAGTGGATGGTATTTTGATAGGGATTGCATTGAACGTGTAGATTGCTCTAGGTAGCATGGACATCTTCAAAATATTTGTTCTTCCAATCCATGAGCATGGAACGTTTTTCCATTTCTTTGTGTCTTCCTCAATTTCTTTCATGAGTATTTTATAGTTTTCTGAGTACAGATTCTTTGCCTTTTTGGTTAGATTTATTCCTAGGTATCTTATGGTTTTGGGTGCAATTGTAAATGGGATCGATCTTTAATTTTTCTTCTGTCTTGTTGGTGTATAGGAATACCACTGATTTCTGTGCATTGATTTTATATCCTGCCACTTTACTGAATTCCTGTATGAGTTCTAGCAGTTTTGGAGTGGAGTCTTTTGGATTTTCCACATAGTATCATATCATCTGCAAAGAGTGAGAGTTTGACTTCTTTGCTGATTAGGATGACTCATTTCTTTTTGTTGTCTGATTGTTGTGGCTAGGACTTCTAATACTACCCCGATGTTTATAGCAGCAATGTCCACAATAGCCAAACTATTGAAAGAGCCAAGATGTCCATCGACAGATGAATGGATAAAGAAGATGTGATATATATATATATATATATATATATATCACATCTTCTTTATATATATATATACATACATACACAATGGAATATTATGCAGCCATCAAAAGGAATGAAATCTTGCCATTTGCAATGACATGGATGGAACTGGGGGGTATTATGCTGAGCCAAATAAGTCAATCAGAGAAAGACATGTATCATATGATCTCACTGATATGAGGAATTCTTAATCTCAGGAAACAAACTGAGAGTTGCTGGAGTGGTGGGGGGTGGAAGGGATGGGGTAGCTGGGTGATAGACATTGGGGAGGGTATGTGCTATGGTGAGGGCTGTGAATTGTGTAAGACTGCTGAATCACAGACCTGTACCTCTGAAACAAATAATATGTTATATGTTAAAACATATAATTAATGTTAAATTTAACATTAAATGTTAAAATGTAAAATTAAAAAAATGTTAAAAAACATTTGTTTAACATTAACTCTTTTCGAAAGAGTTGACTATGGTAGTATATTGACTACATAGCCTTGAGGATACAGATTCTTTATCACTGACCTGTAATTTTTTTCAGGGCTTGCAAATAGCTGAAAGATGGCGGTCCATCAAAATCCTAAAGGAGAACACAGGCCCCAACCTCTTCGACCTCAGCCGCAGCAACTTCTTCCTAGGAACATTGCCAAAGGCAAGGGAAGCAAGGGCAAAAATGAACGATTGGGACTTCATCAAGATAAAAAGCTTTTGCACAGCAAAAGAAAGTCAACAAAACCAAAAGAAAACCGACAGAATGGGAGAAGATATTTGCAAATGACATATCAGATAAAGGGCTAGTATCCAAAATCTATAAAGAACTTATCAAACCCAACACCCAAAGAACAAATGATCCAGTCAAGAAATGGGCAGAAGACATGAACAGACATTTTTCCAAAGAAAACATCCAAATGGCCAACAGACACATGAAAAAGTGCTCAACATCACTCGGCATCAGGGAAATTCAAATCAAAATCTCAATGAGATACCACCTCACACCAGTCAGAATGGCTAAAATTAACAAGTCAGGAAACGACAGATGTTGGTGGGGTTGCGGAGAAAGGGGAACCCTCCTACACTGTTGGTGGGAATGCAAACTGGTGCAGCGACTCTGGAAAACAGTATGGAGGTTCCTCAGAAAGTTGAAAATAGAGCTACCATACAACCCAGCAATTGCACTCCTGGGTATTTACCCCAAAGATACAAATGTAGGGATCTGAAGGGGTATGTGCACCCTGATGTTTATAGCAGCAATGTTCACAATAGCCAAACTATGGAAAGGGCCAAGATGTCCATCGACAGATGAATGGGTAAAGAAGATGTGGTATATACAATGGAATATTACGCAGCCACCAAAAGGAATGAGATCTTGCCATTTGCAACGATGTGGATAGAACTGGAGGGTATTATGCTGAGCCAAATAAGTCAATCAGAGAAACACATGTATCATATGACCTCACTGATATGAGGAATTCTTAATCTCAGGAAACAAACTGAGAGTTGCTGGAGTGGTGGGGAGTGGGAAGGATGGGGTGGCTGGGTGATGGACATTGGGGAGGGTATGTGCTATGGTGAGGGCTGTGAATTGTGTAAGATTGCTGAATCACAGACTGCCAATCACAGTTGACTAGATTGATAATGGAAGCTGTTGAGTTAAATGAGTAGAATGAGAAGGAGGCTTAGAGTGTAGCCTTGAAGAACTGCAACAGTTGTGTTGAGGGGGCTAGGAGATGATCAGTTAGGAATATAGCCAAGAGGTCGCTTTGCAGTGAAAGAAAAGGGAATGTTTGAAGAAGGAAGAGCCAACTGAACTGTTGAAAACAGCTGAGCAATTCAATTGGCAATGAATTTTTTATTGAAGCTTATTCTTATACAAAATCAGGTCAATAACTAATAAGTTTGAGGGGAAAAAAAGTCTGACTGGTGAATTTGACAATGCAGCTGTCACTGGTGGTGAGATTTTTTGTTTTTATTTTTGTTTTTTTGTTGATGTTACTTTGGGATTTTAAAATTTTGATTTGAGGGATCCATGTGAGAGGGGAGTGTGCTGAATATATTGGAATATTCATATGGTTACACTGGAATATTCATACGTATTTTGTGTTCACTGTACTTTTCCACCTCCCTTTCTAAGGGGAAGGTTGGGCCTTGGCAGTCCCTTGCTTCAGGAGGTTTATTCAGCCTTCCAGAATCTTGTTTTTCCTGTAGTCCATGCTCCTTGAGAAGATTATAAGGGTAGGAGGTGATAGGAGGGGCTTTACCTACTATACTCAAAGCAGGAGGAGCATGGGAGGCTGATACATGTTGCTTTTAGGGATCTTATCAAGATCTCCTCATGTAGTTATAGTGGGATTTGTGTGGATAAAAGCTGATGGATCTTCAGGGTCGTATGACTTTTGTCAGAAAATTATAGGAACCAGGCAGCAAAAGAGTCTGATAATTACTGCCAGGGATGAGCATACTACATGCTAACTGGTTTGCTTTATCTCACCAGAAATGAAAGTTACCCATGTTCAGCTTGTAGATTCAGATTGGTCTAAAAGTATTCTTTTCTTGGGCGCCTGGGTGGCTCAGTCGTTAAGCGTCTGCCTTCGGCTCAGGTCATGATCCCAGGGTCCTGGGATCGAGTCCCACATTGGGCCCCCTGCTCGGCAGGAAGCCTGCTTCTCCCTCTCCCACTCCCCCTGCTTGTGTTCCTGCTCTCGCTCTCTCTCTGTCAAATAAATAAATAAAAATCTTTGAAAAAAAAATAAAAATAAAAGTATTCTTTTCTTAATTATCTATCTAAAGCCTTCAATTCAATCTTCTGTGAAATTCATCTGTAATTTTTCTTTACCTTTTTTTCTACACTGAATCATAGGATATTTTGTTGTTTTGATTATATTTCAATTTTTGGAGGATATTCTGCTTTCTCTTTGGTGTTATTTTGCCTAGTCAGGATTAGGACCTTATGAATTATACTAGATTATCATTTAAAGATTAAGCTATCTGTTTTCAAGTAGTAGTATTATTTTTTGCTGCTATGTTGCAGGAAAGAGATATGTATCTCATAAAATAGACCAGCCATTCTCCAAACTGAATTTCAATGTTATCCTCCAATAGTGCATATGATCCCTTGATGTTGTAGTTGATGAATTTATAATAAGCTTATTTAGCACCGGACCTTGAACTACAATTTAGATCAATCCAACATTCAGAACCTGATCATGATATATATATTTGATTGTTGTTCTTGAATATTAACAGTACAAATGTAGATTAATCTTATAGATAATACATGAAATTTTTGTTTCTATTCCCTATTCTATACTTGTGTAACTGGACTTATTCATGACTGGCAGTAATTTTGGAACTGTGTTTAATATTTATTTCCTCAGCAGTCTGCAATCTCGCTATGGGCTAACATGTCACAGTGAGCATAATATTCACAGTGACTTGCACAGTGTCTGGAAAATAACAAACCTCAATCAATATTTATTGAATGAATGAGTGGATGGATGGATGAGTTGTATTTTCTATTTAAAGCACTTTTCCCAATTCTCTAAAGTGTTAAGATAGTTTCCAAATAAATAACTTCTTTTGTTTTTTCATTGAATTCTTATTCTTTCATTTATTCATTCATTTATTTAGTGTTTATTTAAAACCTAGTTTGTGCCAGGCATAGTGCTGGTAGCCCCTTTCACAATTCACAATGTAATATGCACTCTCATCATACTTAGAAACCGACTACAGTGACTGCCAAAGGAAATTTCTGGACACGGAGGATGTTTGGCTATGCAAATAGTGGCTTTCCTCCTTTCCATGTGTCCTAGAAAGAAATTCAGAGAAAGAAATGGCATAACGATTCAATTGCGAATATGTTTTAGAGATTATATGTAAGGGAACTACACTGGCCATGGTGTAGTTATAAATAAGGAGTCCTGGGAAAGGTTTGACAAGAACACTTGTTTGGATCAAACACTGTTATGCAAAAGACAGATTGCTGGAAAGGAACCCCAGCCAGGAGGTTCACTCACTAGTGAGTGCTCTTATTAAAGTAGGAATAGTCAAAAAATATTTTATTTAGTGTGATATTTATATCACCCTTGCTATCATGGACACACAGTTGGACTCCTCCAATGTAACTCAGGAGAAAGGCCACCCGGATCCACTTGAAAGCATGTGTACGTGTTATGCAGCTCTTCTTAGTTGTTAGCTCACAGAACAGGTAAATCAACATTTACTAGAGTAGAGGCCCTTGCTAGGGTTTTATATATCTTCTCACATTTTATCCTTTAAAAATTGCTATGCAGCAACTTGTAATAGTTCTGCATAAAGATGAGAAAATTGAAACTCAGCGATTCTAATTTGCATCAGTCACACAGCTGCTAAATCAGGAGGTCAGAATTTTATTCCAGGTCACTGGTAGTCAAAATTTCACGTTTGTCCTATTATGCACATTGGTCAGATAGGCACATACCTGTTCTAATCCTTAAAGAAAACTAGTGTATAACAAAGTGAATGTATCGATGTCTAATATCCATTGCCTAAACAGACCCCTTTCCGGAATGAAAGCTGGTTCAATATTAGGAAATATGCATGCATTCATTCATTCACAAAGGGATGTGTATGCCTCTATGTCACCCCTCGTTCATTGATGGGAACATTAAAGCCTAGAAAGAAATTTAGACTTTGCTTCTTATTTTGAGGTTAACAAACTAGAACAGAAAGAAAAAAAGACCTGAGGGGTTGATACATGGGACAGATATATTTCAGATAAACTTCTCTAAGACACATGAAGAAAGTGGGGAATAACCTGAGGGAAACGGAGCAGCAGGGATCAGCCATGGTCATTTAGCAGTAGCAAGGATACTAATAACAGTGATTATAATCTTGTAGTAGTTGCCAGTTTCTATTGGGTGCTAGGTCGGGCAGTTTTGAGGTGATGTCAGTAATTCTCATGTTGAACTTATGAGGTAGTTCTTAGTCATATTAGTTTTCAGATGTGAAACTGTGTCTAGGAAATTTTCAGAGTTAAGGGATGTGCCCACAGTTCAGTGACGTGCTCCTAAGTGTTTAACCATCGGCTCTGTTGAAAAATAAATGTTCGCATATATATTCACACATATATAATTATATTTATAGATAAATTCACATATCTACATAGCATCATTATAATTTTTACTTATGTAAAAGACGTGTGGCACACAATTTACAAATAACAATAAACTCTAAAATATTGTCAATTCCACATGGCCAATTAAGTCTCACAGATTACTCTCTTGGATTTTTGTTGAACTCTGTATCCATAGCCAATCTATCATTAGAAATGATGGATAAACGTAATTCTGACACCAATGCTGTTTTACATTTTCATTTATATTAATGAGTAAGACCAAGTGAGATAATAAAGACACATATCAGAAATTCATTCGTTGGTCAATGCCTCCAGCAACTCTTTTTTGTTGAATCTCATACTAGCTTTTGAATACCAGAAGAGTATTTCTTTAATTGTTTTTGTGCTATTCAAAATATTAAAAAGCTACATAACTGACTTACTTTTAAGTTTAATCTGTATTATTAACATTTCTTCGATCATTTTCTTAAGTCTAGCCAATCAACAAAACAATAAATCAAACCCCAATTTATGGATAGCAT